ATTTTGCATAGAAAACTTAGAGAAATATGTCATGACTTTTCTGAACACCCAATACATAATATCCACTTTTTAAAAAGATAGATGCCACAATCCCTTCTCTTCCATTCTCCTCTTGAGATTTTGGACATGCATGCACACATACGTGTCTGGTGTGAGTTTTAAGCCACTAGGTCTGGGACTTGAACCATGGTTGGCCATGTGGGAGTTCAGCGACATAACTATTATGCCATTGGCTGGTCCTTCCTCTACTAAATAAAATGTTAGCAATACATAATTAACCCAAGTCATTGGAAGTCAGGATAGTGTTATCTTGGAAGATGTAGAAAATAGAAGACAACAAAGGGAGTTTGTCAGGTGCTGACAATGCGGTTTCCTGACTTGGGAGCTGGTTACATAGCTGTGCTCGCTTTGTGGCAATTTACTGAGCTGCTCACTTATTTTGTTTACTTTAATGTATTTTATACTGAAATAAAAAGTTAAAATAATTCTAGCCAGTGTGGTATTGGCCAAAGAATACACACAAGCCAATGGTAAAGAATATGGGTAGTCTGGAAATAGATCCACCAAATAAACCCATCAGCCGGTCTTCAACAAGTGAGCCAAGGCAACCCAAAGGAGAAAGGATAATATTTTCAACTAATGATGTGGGAATGACGAAAATCCACATGCCAAAAAATATAATAATCTAGCCACAAAGCTTACATCATTCACAAAAAATGAACTCAAAATGGATTATTGACCTAAATGTAAAATGCAACACCATAGTCTTTATAAAAGCATAGAGAAAAAATCTAGGTGACATTGGGCTTGGTGATAAAATTTTAAGACAACATCAAAAGTATGATCCACAAAAGAAAAAATGGTAACTTGGACTTTGTTAAAATTTAAATATTTTATTCTGTGAGATACAGTTCAGAAAATGAAAAGACAAGACTGAGAGAACATATTTGCAAAACAAATATCTGGCAAAGGTCTTGTATCCAAAATTTCCAAAAATTCTTAAAACGCAGCAATTAAAAATAAAAAATGGCTATGCTAGACTTCCCTGTCGGGGGTGATACCATGACCACAAAGGTGGTTTTCCCAGGGCATGGCTTATCCACTTCACACCAGTTGTGCTGACCTCTGCAATGTCCCCAAATGTGGGAAACTCAGTTGCATTATTTTTAATAGTGAGGAACGCATTCATGTTTTCTCCAGGGGTGAAAAAAAAACACTCTATTTTTTTTTTTTTTTTTTAATGTACTGGTCTGCCAGTGACGTGGTGGCTTAGACAGTTGGATTCCAAATGGCCAATTGCATGGAGTCCCCAAACTTGTGGCTTAAAAAACATGCCAGGCCCATGCACATCTGTGTCCAAAATCCCAAAAGGAGAATGGAGAAGAGATTATGGCATGGTCATCCCTGGTGGGGGTGCTTTCTCATTTTCCCTCTCTCTCTCTCTCTCTCTGTCACTCTGTCACTCTCCAGAACATGTCCTGTAACAATTTTTTTTAAAAAGGGGGGGGCAGGATGGAAGACCCGAATAGACATCACATCAAAAAGGCATGCAAGTATCAAGTAATTATATAAAAAGATGCTCAAAACATTTGTCATCAGGAAATTGCAAACTGAACAAGATTCCACTATATACCTACTAAAATGGCACACACACACGCACACACACACACACACACACACACACACACATAAACTTAATACTAAATACAGGAGAGTATACAGAGCACAGGTGCCCCCATTCATTTCAGATAGAAATGCAAAATGATCAGCTACTTTAGAAGATCGCTTGACGATTTCTTACTAAGTTAAGCACAGTCTTGTACAATCACACCGTTGTACTCCTAAATACTTACTCCGGTTGAGTTGAAAACTTATGTCCCCACAAAATCCTGCCTATAAATAGTTATAGCAGCTTCATTTATAATCACTCAAAACTAGAAGCAACCAATATGATTTATAATATGTGAATAGATGAACAAACTGTACTACATCCACACAATGGAATATCTTTCAGCAAAAAGAAGAAATGAGCTATCAAGCCGTACTAAAACAGGGAAGAACTGAAAGGCGGAATGAACCTCAAACAATTCATGGAAAATGAAGTCAAAGCATGAGTTTATTCAAGTGCAAAAAGAAAAAAAAAGAAGAAAACCATAAAATTTATGCATAGTTTTGTTATAGCATGCATTTCCCACATTTTGAAAACTCTTTATACTCTATAACTTTAAGTATATTATATACTGTACAATTTTAATTATGTTACAATTAATTATTTTATACTCTAGAAAAAAATAAAACACATAAATGGAAGAGATCAGTGGCTTTCAGGGGTTCAGTGGGGATAGAAGGGCAATGAATAGGGGAAGAACAGGGGATTCGAGGGTGATAAAAATTGCTCCATATGATACTATAATAAGAATATGTGACAGGCCCAGTAGGTGGCAGAGTGATTAAGGCATTGGACTTTCACATGGCCGACCATGGTTCAAGTCCCAGACCTAGTGGCTTGAAACTCACACCAGACATGTATGTGTGCATGCATGTCCAAAATCTCAAGAGGAGAATGGAGAAGAAGGGATTGTGGCATCCCTCATGGAGGATGATTTCTCACTGTTTTTGTCTGTCTGTCTGTCTGCCTGTCTCTCTCTCTCTCCAAAGAGAACATGCACCCTAAAGCAAAAATCTCTTTTTTAAAAAAATGTGACATTTGGACTAGTGGGCAGCATGGTGGTTAAGGCACTGGACTCCCATATGGTTGACCATGGTTTGAGTTCCAGACCCAGTGGCTTGAAATTCATGCCAGGCATACATGTGTGCATGCCCAGAATCCCAAGGAGAGAACAGAGGAGAAGGGATTGCGGCATGGCCAATGCTCCTGAGGGGTGATTTCTCACTTTTCTTCTCACTGTCTCTCTCTGTCTCTCTGGTAAAGGCACAAACCCTATTGCAAAAATTAAAAAAAAAAAAGAATATATGACATTATTAGTCAAAACACATAGAACTATACAACATAGAAGGAACCTTGATTTATGCAAGATAAAAAAAATTATGTAGGAGAGCAGATGATCCCAGTGAGGAATGCAGTCCATGGGGCTGGCTCTGTGGCCTTGTGATTAAGGGAGCTGGATCCCACGTGGCCAACCACAGTTTGAATCCCAGTCTTGATGCCTTCAAAATCCTGACAAGATGGAGAGATAGAGGGGAAGGGATTGTGGCATGACTACACTCCCTTTCTCCCTCTCTTTCTCTTTCTGTCTCTAGAGAGGCATGTGCCCTTTGGCCTAAGAAAAGAAGGGAGAGAGAAAGAAGATGGTGAGGAGAGAATTTAACCGTATTACAAATGCACAAACAGCCTCCCTGAGGAACGAGTCACAGCACAATTAGGTTTGGAGAGCCTGTTCTCAATGATTGTGCTGAGTTGTGGTGACCATATACCATGACCTGCTCGAGAAAGTCCCGATGTACGTCTGTTGTTCTGGCTCAGATATTAATAGCACTCCAGGAGGACAGCGGATGGTGTAGTGATTAAGGCACAGGACTCTCTGACCAACTGTGATTTGAGTCCTGGACCCAGAGGTTTGACTAACTGGGTGTGTGTGCTTGCATGTCCAAAATCCCAGAGGAGAATGGAAGAGACAAAATTGAGGTGTGGCCATCCCCGTGATGGGTAATTTTCTGTTTCTCTCTCTCTCTGTCTCTCTGGTGAGTGCATGCTCCATATAGCAAAAGTCTCTCTTTCTAAAAATAAAAAAGAAAGAAAAAGAAAAGAAAAGAGAGAGAAAAAATAGCACCCTCTTCTACTTGTAGATATGCTTGGCTTGTATAATAATTCCGTCATCCTAGCAGTACTGGATCTTCCCATATGTTCCTTTTTTTTTTTTTTTCTTAACTTTATAATGCCTTTCTTGATCCCAATGCAAAAGCAAAGTGCTCCAATCTTTAGCTCTTTGGCTAAAATAAAATTTTAACTAGCTAAGAATATTGTTCCCTGTGGCTACAGACTACCTGTGTCCTGCAAGTCAAGAGCGCATTCACTTCAGTAAGTCAGTTTTGCTGATCAGGGAATGGTGCACTCTTCATTGTATGGTTTTTGTGAGTCTTCAAGTGTGTAACTAAAATCTCTGTGCTGCCAGGTGTCTCTGAAATAAATAATTCTAAAATAGAAGTCCTATTATTGTAAACCCACATCCCATTTTTACCTGAGACTGTAGTCAACTAAACCTGATACCTTTTGGTCTTGTGTGTGGTCATTATGCCTTTTTCTTTCACCATTCTGCAAAGCTGGTTTTCAACCAAAGGAAAGGGAGTGCCTTTACATGTAGTAAACTCTCTTACTGTGCTTTACACATCATTAAGTAACAATTTAAGGGGGTCAGAGGGTGGCATGGTGGTTAAAGGCACTAGATTCCCACATGGCCAACCATGTGGTTTGAGTCCTGGACCTGGCAGCTTGTTTTCTCACTTTCCCTTTCTCTCACTCTCTGTCTCTCTCTGGTCAAATTAAAAATAATAATAATAACAAGTGGAATTAATTAAATAAATAAATCTTTTTAAAAAATTAACATATTAAGCTCTATTCCAGCCTGATCAGGTGTTAGGAAACTTTGTCAGATAATATATTCACTCAATTTATTGCTTTTCAACTATTTTTTTATCACATCATCACTTTAATGTAATAATTTTTAAAGAATATTATTATTGTCATTTAACTTGAGAATAAAATTACTACATAAGATAGAGGTATGCTGAATGTCCTCAGTTTGTCCCTCCATGCTCATCCTTGCTCTATGTCTTGAGAGGCTGGCCACATAGACTGCGAATAGAAACCCTGTGCTCTGACTGCTGGAGGGGTAAGCAAATTGGAAGCACTTGCAAGAGACTCACGGTCAGAGTATTTATTCCTCTGACTTCCTCCCTGCCGCATTTCCAAGGACAACGACCAGAGCTTCTTTTTGGGTAACTATCTTCTTTTTCTTTGAGGTCTGAAGTGGTCTTAGAACCGACTTTTGTTAATTTCTGGGATATTCCTCTATTTCTACTGGTCTAAAAACAACACTGTTGACATACTTGTAAATAATCTTTTATCAATCTCTCTTCAAATCGTCAGACTAATATGCCACTTGTTTCTGGCTGAGCTCTGTTCTGGTGCAATGGCTTAGGCCAGAACCCTGAGGAGACCACAGATACCGCCTACATTATCTATCTATCTATCTATCTATCTATCTATTTATTTATTTATTTATTTATGTATTTATTTTTAAAGATAGAGAACATGCCCAATAGGATCTTAATAGCACAATCCATGCCCATTCTCCCACCAGCCCCAGATCACGGGTATGCCTACCTTGTATACTCATTAGGGACTCCAGACTTGAACCAGGAACCCTCCTATGTGGGATTGCCTTGCAGAGCATCATATTTTATTGCTATGACACTGTCTGGCCTCTGTCCTTTTATATATATATATTTTTCTTTTTTTCTTTTAATTGTCAGTGGGCACGTGTGCTCACCAGAGAGAAAGCGAGGGAGAGGGAGAAAGAATCTCCAATGAGGCATAGTCTCACTGACATCTCTTTTCCTCCATTTTTCCATCCCATTGGGATTTTAGATGTGCACACACACACACACACATACATACTGGCACGTTTCTCAAGCCCTGGGGCTGGGATTTGAACTGAGGTTTGCCATGTGGGATTTGGCTCCCTTAACCACTAGTAAATGGGGCCGGCCCTTTCCTTCTAGACCATAATCACACTGTAGTACAAGCATGTCTGGCCTCATCACCTACACAATTACCTAGCCTGCTAGCAGACATTCTTCCCCTGCCCTCTTTTTGTTTAATCCTGTGCAGTGTTGCTTCAGCTGTAATCAAGCACTGGTGACTTCCTTTCTCTCTTGCCCTCCAGCCCTCCTCACTACTTCTCCACTTGATAGTCAGAGTGTATTTTCAAAACCTAACTTGGATCATGAAACCTCAGTGTTCAAACATATCAATGGGCCTCTGTGACATTTAAAATCCAAATGCCTTATTGCTTACAAGGTTCTATGGGCTCTGGCTTCCGATTCTTGCTCCATCCTCACACCACTTTCCCTCTGCTAACCCATCTGGGCCACATTGATTTCCTGCTTGGTTCTTCAAACCAGTCCCCTGCTTTGCCATCTTGGACCTTTGTCACTCCTCTGCCTGGATGTTTGTCT